GTGAAATGAATGGTCCTGATATTTTTCTCTAGGGTGTGTAGGTTCGTTCATCAGGTCTTTTATTTAATAATTATATTCATTTGGAAGCGCTAAACCCGTAGGATTCACATGTGTGTTTAGTCACAGCACATGGGAAGTGGCAGATAATCAGGTACAATCGAATGAAGAAGAGAGTAACTTCTTTTACTATCATCATTGCCCTCATAGAAGAGATGCATCTTCAAAGATAATAATGATTATAAACCACAGAGTGAAGCATCATGTGGTGACAACGAAGGTTTTCGACTTCTTTGCGCATTATCCGAAACAACTCAGTATCACTAAAGCTAAAATCTTGAGTAGCTTCAAATAGAGGTTAATTAAATACATGAATGACAGGGGTTGGATTTCAGTGGGACTTGTACATCATGAGTTGGTCGAGTTATCAAAGCTTATTCCTTGAAAACCTTTGCGGGGTTTAGCACTAGCTTTGATTTTATTGATAATTATTCATTGAAAAGCACTGAAAATAAGTTGGGCAAATAATTTTGTTGAAGGGTCTGCGTTTGAGAAGAACCTGCCTAGTATTGGCCATTAGGCTTGCTGCAGTTTTTTTTCTTATAATCTTCAATGTTCACTCATGACAACTGATTATCAACTGGCTCAACAACTGGTAAAAGGACTAAGCTGGTCGACGAAGGATCGAGCTTAACCACTCCTTGCCCTAAATGACCTACACATTTAGCGCCTCATGCAAATGCAGTCATAATCATCAGCAACAGCGGGTGTGCCAGGACTGCTTGGATCTACTGTTTTAACCTTCTCGTATATGTACATCTCCTTAGAGCACTTGTAGCATTTGTTTCGATGTTCTTCGCGCACAGGGAGTGTCTAGTGATTGAGTTCTTTTACTGTAAGGACATCTACGTAGCCTATGTCAAGAATAGTCAGGTTGTCGAGATCGATAAGGTATTCGTTATCAAAGCATTCGTTTTCCAACTCTATAGCGCGTGCGTTAGAGCTTCAGAGAACTGTAACTGTATCTTCTGTTTGTCCCGCCGTTGTTAATCCTCCACGATAGAAGCCCAACAAGCTGATAAAATAACCAAATATCCTAAGATCTATAACCTGGAAGGATATCTCAAAGTGCCGAGTGAATACTTATATTTTTGTCAGCAAATTAGTTGGAAACCAAACGTTTGTTACGCGGTCAGTTTCAGCAACACCTCACTGAAATTTTCTCCACACTAATGTATTTCCCTTTATATGGTTCTTTTATTCAAAATTTTGTTGGTAGTTTTTACCATATGGAAAAGGCAAGACTACACACGCTGCCTCTGTTCTTACAATAAATATATATACCTAGGAGTTAACATTAATCAGTTGTATCATGGGAAAGAGGAGCACAGAAAGTCAGCTAAACTAAGTTATCCAGGTCTAAGAACCATCCGAGGTTACTAACCAGAAAAAATCAACCAACCGTACTATATATGATCTGAACAAGATTACCACTGTCTCTGCTGGTATTCCTTGTTCCAGCTCCTTAGCTCAGTCTGTCGGCTCAGCGCTGGTTGGTAATATGTTGAACCAGTGTGGGTGTTGTTGCTACAGCAACTTTGAGTCATCCAAGACTGCATCTCGGGGTATCCCTCTTCCTGCCCAGACAGACATAACGGAGTTGCCGCGTATTCAAATACTTGCTTTGTCTTCATACAGGGTGTCCCATAAGTCTGGACACAAGGAAAAGAAAAAGAAAAACTTGAATTGTTTAAACTGAATGTCCTCAGTAACCATACACCTTCATTTTAGCACAAATATTTTCCAGTGTCCTATAACCATAGCAACACTTCGTCAACGAATCTATGAAATGGCTTTGATTTATAATTTTATTTTTAGTGAAATAAGTCGCATACCTCCCTGACTTGTTCCAGAAACACACACACGAGAAACAATTCCATCTTCTCTTAATTAGTATGGCGAACCATTTTATTTAATGTAATTATAAAAATGACATGAGCCGTATCTAAGAACATAATGGTGACATTTTCAATGGGTTTTAACATTAGGAACACTATATATATTTTTTTTTCGTTATTCGCTGCGGTGAGACGACACTCGTGTGTGGATTCCTATTTACTGTAGGTGGAGAATTAACTGTGGTAAATGGTTTTGAAAACCGACAAGTTGAAGATTGAGACACTTAAGATTTCCATATGTTGCATAAGTGTCTCAATCTTCAACAGAGTTAACTGTATTATCCCATGTTGTTTAAGTGGAAAAAAAATGATATTTTTGTACCAGGACGCAGGGTTTTGTTTCTGCTCTGGTACTGCTGTTGTCAGTTCAATGTGACAGCATCACGCTGACGTTGCTCCGCAAGCTTTTACGCATATTTTATTTACACGGACTACCATCATGATGATTCTTGCATCCTATTATTAGTATCCTGTTATTAGTATGTGCATAGTGGATGTATACTATTGAACCTCGTCTTACACATGAACGCTGCAAGTCTTACTGACCCGTAATAGACGGGAGTCCACCCTTGACTTCACTGACACTAATTGGTAGTTTGTTCCACTCATCTATAACAATTGACAAACCTCTACTAATTATCTTTTTACACCTTTTACTTAATTTGAATCCATTATTTCAAATACTGTCTTGTTTATACCTTCAGCAACCTCTTTATTCCTGTCTTTTATTTGTACATCTCAATAATATCTTACCTCTGATGTCAGTGGTAGAATAAACCGACAAATGTGTTAATAAGACACAATATGCGGCTTATGACATTTTACAGAGAACCTTTCGCCAGGTCCAAGGCTGGGCTTCGGAAGTAGAAAACTTCCAAAAATTCAAAAGTATACATGAAACGTCTTCTCTGTAAACTGACATAAGTTGATATTGTGACATATTAATTTATCCTACATCATTATATACCATTCACGAGTGTAGGTTCAGCTCTCCTTTTCTGAGAGATGTACAACCAAAAACCTTCTTGCGTTTCGTGTCATGGCATAGAGGCTATTGGCTGGGCTCTCACCGTTCTTGTATACTGTTTTTGTTATTGTATATACTCTCCTGGACATGCTCAAGATGCTTTCAGGAGAAAGAAACGCTATCAGGTGGAGGTGGGAGCTTGAGTTAAGGTAGCGCGTGGTGGCGATAGTGGTGATTGCTGAAGAATGCCCCAGTTAAGACAACAATGGTGGAAATTTTGGTGGTGATAGTGGTTGTCGACTGATTCAGTGAACGTAAGTGGTAGTGGTACTGGTGATAGCAGTGGCGGTGGTGGTGGAGCGACCAAGTTAAGGTAATACACAATAAGTCAATACATGTGACGTAGTAACTCCTTACTGGCCGCTCCATTCTCCTACAGTTTCACCTTGCTCACGTAGTACTACCTAGACGCGTGTACCTGCCACCTCCTCGGTCATTCACCTGACAGGTGTGGCACACACATTTCCCATCAGATGAAACACCCTGATGAAGTGCTTCAGTGGTGGCACTGTTGGTTTAATGTTGCGTGTGCTCCTTGGTTTATGTAGGCTTTGTACTTTTGCATGAGGCTGTAATTTTTTTTTGTCTCATAGACACGTAAGGTAGAAAATAAATTTTACTTTCGTCTACTTACATGCATAGTACATTTACCTTTATTTTCTCCATTTTGCACATTTCTTACAGTACATATACTTATCCTTACATTCTTGCGAGTTCCCTCAGTCATTAACATATATTAGTGCGTTTTATACATTTGAAGGCTTTCGAGAGTTTTCCTACTCTAGCTGCGAGAGCGTCACACTTCTGTGGGTCATACTGCGCCTGGGAGAATGGAAGGCGTATAAGCTCGATCCAGTGAAACTGAGTACATATCAAGAGTCCCTCACCGACATCAATGAACCTTGAGAGTTTATTCTGAATAAGCTTAACTTATTTCAAGTCATCTTACACTGATTTTTTATACATTAGGAAAGTGTCATGACTGGCAACAAGATTGCTTTTACTACATATTAAACTTGAGCTCATCTTAAGTGATGATAACATGCACTCTTCTTTACTATTTTGGGGTATGAAAAGTAGTTGAGATCGTGGTTGTAGTGTTAGTAGTTAGTTGTGGTGGTGTTTGTAGTGCTGTGGTGAATGTAATGGTGGTGACTGTAGTGTTGTCATGGTTGTAGTCATAGTTGTGGTAGGTGCAGTGGTGATTAGTGTTTCTTGTAGCGGTGGCAGGGTGGTGGTGGTGGTTGTAGTTTAGTTGTAATGGTGGCGGTTATAATGCTACTTGTGGTGATGGTTATAGTGCTACTTGTGGTGGTGGTGGTAGTAGTGCTACTTGTGGTGGTGGTGGTAGTAGTGCTACTTGTGGTGGTGGTGGTTGTAGTGCTACTTGTGGTGGTAGTGGTTGTAGTGCTACTTATGGTGGTGGTGGTTGTAGAGCTTAATGCCAATAAATATAACGCATATCGCTGATATCTTTCACCCAACACAAACAATTGCAGCAGATCTGCAGGTTTCTTATATTTATAGGCATTTTGCAGACACCTTTCATCAGATGAGACGCACATCAACCGGCTAACCTACAACTGCCTTTATTTTTATACAGCTTGATGAGCAAGGACAACAGGAAATTTACCCCCTATGTTTCGGTGGCAAATTTCCTTACACCTTTGCTTCTACTATTCACCTAACTCGGGTTTCAGGTGAGGTCTAGAGCCTTATCCACCCACTACTGTAGTTATTGCCACGTAAATAGTTTTTAATGGACCTTGATTGCTATCCTGCAGCAGAACACAGAGAGGGGAAATTATACTTTATCATTCTGAAATAGATAGTTTTTCCTAGAAGCTATTTTATACATTTCTCCGGGGCTGTGGGTCCCCATAATGTGCACTACAGGTGAACTTCATAAAAATGTGAATTATTATGTATAGTTTTTAAGGTATTTGTGTAAGTTCTTTTTCTGTATTCAGAATATTCGTGTGGAGAGGCAACATTAACTAAAGTGTTGTGTTGAACAGGTTACCCAGGGCTGCCTGTGAGTGCAGCTGCTGTGGTAGCGGCAGCGGCGGCGCAGCAGCAAGCACAAGCAAACAGCCAGAGCCAACAGGGGTCGTCGCAGGGGCCCGGCGGCCCCCGAACCACCTCCCCCGAGGGTCCCAACTCCTCCACCAACGGGCCCTCGCCGATGGCGGCCCTCCAGAGTGTGACAGACAACCTGCCACCGGGTTCCCCACACAGCCATGCCTCTGCCTCCCCCCAGCAGCGCTCAGCATCCAGGAACTCGTCACAGTTGTCCCCTTCTTCAGGTACGTCTGAAGCTCACGCGCACACTCGCATCTACACACATACGTCTGACGTCACAAATACACTTCAAAAGTGTATTTGTGAATAAAGCTTAGCCAGAGCTGTGCCTCCTGTGTGTTCCCGGGGTATACGCATAAATGGTTGTCGTATTCTCACTTGAACTTAAAGTGTACTTGTTACGTCTTGGCACTAAAAGCAAGATTGATGGTTGGGAACATATAGATATACTTGGATTTACGTGGTACAGTATTCACAGTATCGAAATATGTCAGAAAATTATCATTCGAAATAGTGTGATACAATCATTAAAATTGTTGACATTAAGAAAATGCTATTATATATATATATATATATATATATATATATATATATATATATATATATATATATATATATATATATATATATAATATATATATATAAAGGACTTCCAGATCAATGCACATTTAGTTATCACATGGTCATTGTAAATTCAACTCATAATGACTGTTAGCTCATCTCTGGAGAATTTTCGTGGGGGCTTATATCTCACTCATTGTTTCCTGGTAATGACTCTTTGAGGCCAGTGTAGACTACCTAGGGCCTGGAGACACTTGCTGGCGCTCCTCAACCATTGGTGTCTTAAGATTAGGTTATATTTATTCCTGAAGTGCCGAGACACTATATAAATACTTTTCCTGCCACAAATTCCATCCTGTGGTGACTATAGACGAAGTGGAGAATGCATCTGTCGAGTTTCTGCTGCAGAAAAAAGCAGCATTCATTCTTTTACCCCTATCTTGTGACGAACATCCTTTGCGCTATCTATAATCCACCTCCCTTCCCTCACATTCCTGTAGACACTGGACAGCTGTTGCCAGCTTTACTCTTTTCCTTGAAGATAGCACTGGGATGCCAAGTAGCTTCGATGCGTTTTCCTCGGAGATAGGGACAGGAAGCCAGTCCACTTTTCCCTGAACGATGAGTTGGAAAGCAACTTGCTATCCCAGTACACAATAAGAAACGTGTTAGGAGCAAAATATTCTTAAATCTTTGCAGATACAATCTTCTCTCGGTAATGAACAAGATTTATTCCGCTTATGACATGATGCAGGAAGGGTGGAGGTCAGTTGTCTTGGTGCGATCCAATGTCGACAGTAACTCTGGAATGACATGTTTAATATCTTCCTTTGTTTGGATGTTCTTGGTGTTGGATCGACTTCACCAGCGGTGATCGGCCCTGATTCTTGAATGACTTCCAGGTCGCATTGGTCGCTAGTACTGGAAGAGGACTAGCGCTCAAATGTTAGTGATACCGTGATACTATTTGAGATTTCCTTTCTGCGATTAGCCTTTTCAGCCTCCATCTTTTTGCCCCTTTTGGGTTCATTCCTTGCGCGCGTCTTTTTATCGACCCAGGCAGTGCTCGTGCACCTTCCTTTCGCACGCTACAGCGCCTCTGCAACAGAAGTAATGGTTTCTCCTCCTCAACGATGATCATGTTGAGGGCGTTTTCTTCAGCAGTGCAGTCTTCCAACACTTCAGAAAAGAGTTCTACCTTTGATTACTAACTTCACATACGTCGAAAAGGTTTTAAACCTTGTTTATTTATTTTGAAGGGTGGGGGAAGGGGAGAAGGATGCTAGATATGACCCAGAATTTATTTGCTTCTGTCAAGAAGAGTTTCGCGGCGACAAATATAGTGTGCTTCTCGACGTTATGTAGGAAGAACCGCTAAAGTGCCTCGCCTTACCAAGGTAATTTCTCCCCATCAATGAACAATGTTAGAAAATAAGGCACAATACCGCAACTCAAACACTACACAAATAACCCGCACATGGGAGAGAGAAGCTTATGAAGACGTTTCTGTCCGACTTGGACCATTTATAAATGTAAATGGTTCATTAGGACCGAAAAGTCGTCATAAGCTTCTCTCTCCTATGTGCGGGTTATTTGTGTAACAATGTTAGTTCGCTGATGAGAGAAACTGACATATGCTAGTGAGTGATAGTCCTTCCTTCAATCATACTACTGATACATAACTTGAACGTAATGGTAAAAGTGTCAGAAATCTGTGACGAATTAGAGCTTGATTTATTGCCAACAAAAAACAAAACGACAGCTGCCAATACTCTGATATTAGAACACTGACCAAATACTGTTCCCACTGTTGTACTGCGGTGCCAGGCATACGAAGAGTGTACATTTGAGTAATAACCATTGTAAACTGATATAACACCGATGTATACTCCGATCACTATGAAACTTCATACTTGTCGTTTTTTTCACGATTTTCAACAATAGTAAAGGATAGTCCGACAGTATTTAAAAAAGGTCTTAACGAAAACACACTTTTGTTTATGACAGTGTTACTATGGATGGGTTTTACCTAAATATCTCGAATAATAAAGCAGATCCAATTATTTCATATGTCTTTGTGTGATGCTGCCAGACATAGCCGCTGCATGTTGAACACTAGTTAAAAAAGTAGTAATTATATATATATATATATATATATATATATATATATATAAAATATATATATATATATATATATATATATATATATAAATGTATGAAAGAGGGGAAGGTACCTAGGGATTGGCGGAGAGCATGTATAGTCCCTTTATATAAAGGGAAAGGGGACAAAAGAGATTGTAAAAATTATAGAGGAATAAGTTTACTGAGTATACCAGGAAAAGTATACGGTAGAGTTATAATTGAAAGAATTAGAGGTAAGACAGAATGTAGGATTGCGGATGAGCAGGGAGGCTTCAGAGTGGGTAGGGGATGTGTAGATCAAGTGTTTACATTGAAGCATATATGTGAACAGTATTTAGATAAAGGTAGGGAAGTTTTTATTGCATTTATGGATTTAGAAAAGGCATATGATAGAGTGGATAGAGGAGCAATGTGGCAGATGTTGCAAGTTTATGGAATAGGTGGTAAGTTACTAAATGCTGTAAAGAGCTTTTATGAGGATAGTGAGGCTCAGGTTAGGGTGTGTAGAAGAGAGGGAGAATATTTCCCGGTAAAAGTAGGTCTTAGACAGGGATGTGTAATGTCACCATGGTTGTTTAATATATTTATAGATGGGGTTGTAAAAGAAGTAAATGCTAGGGTGTTCGGGAGAGGGGTGGGATTAAATTATGGGGAATCAAATTCAAAATGGGAATTGACACAGTTACTTTTTGCTGATGATACTGTGCTTATGGGAGATTCTAAAGAAAAATTGCAAAGGTTAGTGGATGAGTTTGAGAATGTGTGTAAAGGTAGAAAGTTGAAAGTGAACATTGAAAAGAGTAAGGTGATGAGGGTATCAAATGATTTAGATAAAGAAAAATTGGATATCAAATTGGGGAGGAGGAGTATGGAAGAAGTGAATGTTTTCAGATACTTGGGAGTTGACGTGTCGGCGGATGGATTTATGAAGGATGAGGTTAATCATAGAATTGATGAGGGAAAAAAGGTGAGTGGTGCGCTGAGGTATATGTGGAGTCAAAAAACGTTATCTATGGAGGCAAAAAAGGGAATGTATGAAAGTATAGTAGTACCAACACTCTTATATGGATGTGAAGCTTGGGTGGTAAATGCAGCAGCGAGGAGACGGTTGGAGGCAGTGGAGATGTCCTGTCTAAGGGCAATGTGTGGTGTAAATATTATGCAGAAAATTCGGAGTGTGGAAATTAGGAGAAGGTGTGGAGTTAATAAAAGCATTAGTCAGAGGGCAGAAGAGGGGTTGTTGAGGTGGTTTGGTCATTTAGAGAGAATGGATCAAAGTAGAATGACATGGAAAGCATATAAATCTATAGGGGAAGGAAAGAGGGGTAGGGGTCGTCCTAGAAAGGGTTGGAAAGAGGGGGTAAAGGAGGTTTTGTGGGCGAGGGGCTTGGACTTCCAGCAAGCGTGCATGAGCGTGTTAGATAGGAGTGAATGGAGACGAATGATACTTGGAACCTGACGATCTGTTGGAGTGTGAGCAGGGTAATATTTAGTGAAGGGATTCAGGGAAACCGGTTATTTTCTTATAGTCGGACTTGAGTCCTGGAAATGGGAAGTACAATGCCTGCACTCTAAAGGAGGGGTTTGGGATATTGGCAGTTTGGAGGGATATGTTGTGTATCTTTATACGTATATGCTTCTAAACTGTTGTATTCTGAGCACCTCTGCAAAAGCAGTGATAATGTGTGAGTGTGGTGAAAGTGTTGAATGATGAAAGTATTTTCTCTTTGGGGATTTTCTTTCTTTTTTGGGTCACCCTGCCTCGGTGGGAGACGACCAACTTGTTGAAAAAAAAAAAAAATTATATATATATATATATATATATATATATATATATATATATATATATATATATATATATATATATATATAACATGTAGTTGAGCATATAAAATATCGTAGTGTGACAGCAATGGAACATAACATCAACAGTAGGGTTTTTTTTTTTTTTTTAATAAAAGTATTTGTTGCCGTTTCAGGAGAACCCAGGAGGAGATCTTCTGGCGGGAGGCATGGAGACTCAAGCGGGGACAGCAGCCCCGGGGCACAGGGAGGAGGAGCGAGCACTGGCAGTAGTGGCAGCGACGCCCCGCAACCCAGCAACAACCTCAAGTGCACGATATGTACCGAGAGGCTGGAGGACACGCATTTCGTGCAGTGCCCCTCCGTCCTTCACCACAAGTTCTGCTTCCCCTGTTCCAGAGATTCCATCAAGCGACAGGGCGCTGGCACCGAGGTATTTTTTCCTTCCCTGTTATTATTTTATGTAGTCATAGGGTGCCTGATGAATGCGAGGTAATTTTATTTGATCCAAGGAAAGGGAGGGTAGCTCAGATTCCTTGGCTCAAGTCCTTGAAAGAAGGTCCATGCCTAGTGTTTTCTTTAGCTCTCCCTCCTCTCCATCTTTCATGTTTGCTTTGAAAGTCTCTTGTTTGGCCAGTGTTATCCAGCTCACTGCCAAGTTTTCATTATAACTTATTTACCAGTAACCTATTATTATTATTTTTACTAATAAAAATACGTATTGCATAAGCCCATAGTCAGTCACTGCTCTACAAGACTACGTATTTCAATACTGCTTAGCATATTTCATGTTATATATTTTTCAGTAACAGATGCACTAATATACTTGACTAATGTCATGCCTCTTTTTGTACATATCAGTAGCATATTATTTTCATTCAAGACTTATATTAAGTTTTGCTTGTAAACGAGTTGTCTTGTTTCTCAGGTGTACTGCCCTAGCGGTGAGCGGTGTCCCTTGGCCGGGTCGTCGGTGCCGTGGGCCTTTATGCAGGGTGAGATAGCCACCATCCTCGGCACCGCAAACATCCTGCCCCAACACTCCCAGGATGAAGTCAAGACCAAGAAGGAACGCGACACATAGGCTGTGTCGCGCAAGGTTCCTCTGGTTTTAGTTACAAGGTTACCAGCGATGCTTAGCTGGTGACTTTTGTCGGCGTCGACCGCAATCTGCGTGTTCGGCGTGGTGACGCTGTACTAGCGTGTCCATATGGTGCTGGATCCGGTCCTTGCTGTGGACTCTGCCTGCTAGTGGTGGTGGTGGCAGCGGCCGGGGCCCCCAACGGCGTCTCGAAGCCACACTACCAGTTGTGTTGTGAGTCGCCATCTGGGAGGTGACTAGGGTGAGAAGGCAGAGTCAGCTAGTCCAGGGAGTCGTCTACATTAGTGACTGTTAGACATTTATGCAGACATTCAGTGTGTCAGTGAATTGGTTTACTTCTCTGGAAGTGACCAAATTTCCTGCCTTCATAAGGAGTGATGACTGCCGTGAGTAATTTGTTGATCAGTCGTGGCAGGACTGTGGGACAACTCAAGTGAATATGATCATCACAAATCAAGGATTACCTGCTGTATAGGTTATCAAAACATGTGGAATTTTGTTTGCAGGAGAGCTCTGAGGCTGAGATAACCTTGGGTGCAGAGTGGCGCAAAAAGAGTCGTCCCAGGGAGACTGGGAAAACTTAGTGTCGTCCTGTGTCATCAGTGACTGCCTCTTGTGAGCAGCTCGACCTCACACTGTCGTTGGCTTAAGTTGCCGTCAGTCTCATGATATCCTTATTGTTGTCAGGATATTGACCTCAGGCTCTGTTGTCAGCCCAAGCTGTCAGATATCGTCGACACCAAGCTGACATTGACCTCAAGCTGTTGTCGACTTTTAAAGATGTCGTCCCACTTTCGGTCCATATTCTTGTGCTGATTTCTTCACAAGTTTTACCTTCAGAGTCGAGCAGAATTGTTATTGTAATCTCTTAGGCTGTACATATGTGTACAATCAGCAAACACAACTCACATGTGCATAAATACACATGCACATACATATGCACACAAACCAGCACATGTGCGAACCCCCCACACAGATGTACCTACACACATGCACAAACATTTAACATGCACGCACACACACACACACACACACACACACACACACACACACACACACACACACACATTCTCCCAAACACTGCTCCAAGACCGTGTGACGTTCGCAATGACCAAAGGCTTACCTTGTATATTGATTGATAGGAATATATTACTTTAGTGTAATGTGATAACACACTTAGCCTACTAGTCATTTATGATACTGGGTAATTTTGGTACAGTATCACAATTTGGAACTCCGTACTCGCTTTTGTAGATTTATAAATGTTCCAAATATTCTCTCTACCGGAATCTGTCAGATCTTCTCCACCAGACTAACACCGGCAATTGTTTAAAACCAAAATCAACAGCAATTAACATGCAAATCAACTTTCTTCTTGTATGCGACAACCCGAGAGAATAACAGCACATCATTGTCAAGTTTTCAGTTATATATATATATATATATATATATATATATATATATATATATATATATATATATATATATATATATATATTATATATATATATATATATATATATATATTCCTCCCTGCCAGTTTTAGAAGATAGCAGTTATAAGTGTGTGTGTCTGTGTCTCCATATGCTGATTCCTTCACGCTGGGCTCGACCTCTCGTTGGACTAAGCTATAAATGGGCTGGCTAGCAACCTCATCGCGTTGCTTACATTGTATTATGTTAGACGAACATCTCTGTTTAGGCTATGCCTTGGTCACAGTCTCGGCTGCCTCTCAGAGTACCGCAGTGTTGTGTTTGGTGTATTCGCTCGCGGCACCAATGTCATTCGCGACCTCTATGGCTTCATTTTTATGTTTGAATTTTTTAGTGTTGTGGCAAAGCTGCAATAAATAACTTAGGCCCAAGCATGCCTTTCTGCGGTACCACAAGCTAGAACATATATACTCCTGTTTTGAGATTATTTTTGGTCTAGTGATGCTAGTATCAAAAGCATGATTAATCAGTCCATCAGTCAGAAGGCCTGGTCTGGGACCGGGTCGCAGAATTAACATGTAGGTAGTTGTCTAATATATGAGAAGTCTGATTGAAATATGGGTAAATTGAGATATAGTGTGACTGATATGTAATTAGGATGACGGAAATTTGGGCATTAATATGTGGGTAGTTAGCCTGACATGTAGACAGTGCGAATTTTGAGTGTTTTGACATGCAGACTGACATGTGGATAATCTGAATGTTATGTATGCATTGCAGGAAGTTTTGTGGGAAGTCTTGAGTTAGCACTGCTACGATTATCTGTGGTAGTCTGGAATGACACTAATAAGACTATTGTGTCTGGATTCATATTTAGATAATATCTAGTATACAAAGTCAGTCATATGCCTGATAACATCCGAGAGAAGTTCACTGTGATTTTGGAGTGTGACTAAATATTGAACTCGAGTTACACAAATTTGTACTTTGTTCATGGTAGCTTATCTCCGTTTTGTGTGTGTGTGTGTGTGTGTGTGTGTGTGTGTGTGTGTGTGTGTGTGTGTGTGTGTGCGTGTGTGTGATAAAGTGCTGCATGGCTTTGTATTGTGAGGGTGGGTGTTTAGTGTTCGTAATGGAGAAGTTGCTGCCAGAAAGCCCAAGCCCGAGTTCTAGCGTGGGGTCTCCCAGCCCCTTTCCCTACGAGCTCCAAAGGGAGGGGGAGTGCTGCTACTGCTGGGGGTGGGAGGGAGGGGGCAAGAGGGGTCTACCTCAGAATATTATCCAGTTGGACGAGTAGCTGCCTGGGGCTTCTTGTATTAACATTTAACTAAAGAGTTCCATACGTAAGATTTCTTAGAAATGTTAAAACAGTTGTTTCTTATGCAATCTTGAATGCCTTGGTATGTTTACGGCACATTCCCAGTGATAAGTAGTGTTACTGTTTCGGGGGCTAGCTACTCGATTTTTTTCTCACTGCCTTGGTTAGGAGGTTTTGCCGTCCAGGTAGCAGCACTCTTCCTTGCCCGCGCCCGTTAGCGTCCAGTACTCTTTTTTCATCATTCCCATAATATACAGTGGTAAACAAAACCAACCCTTGGAGAAACACTGCTGGCTCGGTGTCCTATGCTACTCCGCAATGTTTTTACACTGCTTTACAGTGTCCTCAAAGCTGCTTATCCATGCCCTATGATGTTCAGCTAGTTTACAGGTGCCACTCATACTCTTTAATTTCACTCATCGTCACTTATCTAGCTGTTGAGCCATTTCTCTTCAGTCTCTGGCTATTTGCCATCATCTGCATAACTATGCTTCATTTTCTCTTGCTTCTATTCATCAATGCCCTGCGCTTCTGTCAGTGTGATGATTCCGGCACAGTGTAACGCCCCGGCAAGGCCGTGGCTGTACTCCTCTGGGAGTCTTTGCCAGATATGAATTTTTATATTTTGTTTTTGTTTTAAGCGGGAAAGGCCAGCTACTTGTTGCTCGTCTTGGTCATGAGAGCGTCGATGTGAACCATCACTCCCCGCTGTGGCACAGTGCCAGAATCATTGGGCCCTGGTGAGGAGAGCGTCACTGTGACCCATCACTCTCTGCAGTGGTCCGGTGCCAGAATCATTGGCTATTCTTTCGTTCTTGTTTTCTATGTTGCCTAACGGCATTTTGTTGTAAGTATTAATGCTCCTGGTGTTACTACTTTAACTACTCTTTCCAAGGTACAAATGAAGTAGCTCTTGACGTATTTTTGTAGAAGGGCTTTGTAAAATAAATGACCACCGGGAGGGTTGCAAAGGATTCACCTGATAAGACCTTCTGGCATAAAAAAAAATATATATATATTGTCCATTACTTATTGAAATGGCACAAATGCCCTGCTTTGTTTATGAGTTGGCGTCCAGTTGAGAGAAAATGATTGGTAAGTTTTGGACCAGTGTTGATGGTTTCTTTAGTATCCAGTTCTTGGGTCGAGGTTGTGTAAGTGAAGAGCCTGTTGGTCACGTTATAAACATGAATTATAACCTATTGGACCCAGTTTGTGACCACTCGGGCTTGTGGTGTACACCACACACATGATGAATATAAATATGGCTTGTGTAACTTAGCTAAATCTTCAAACTCAACATTTTGCACTTAGGAAAAACGAGGAATGTGGCCTGTAGAAGCTGACTTACATTGGGCAAGACTTTATTTGTGATCTGTTGATTCAGTTATGATGTTGACAAGCCTGAAAAGAAAATTATTTCTTTAGGGCATATCAGCATCCCTGAGGGCCGAAAGGCACTTAACTGTGCTGTCATCCCCCCCAGGATAAGCTGCATTGTGGCCCAAGGCCTGCCAACCTAATCCCATATCAGGCAGCTCTCCAGAGTTTTGTTTCACTCAGAACCCATGCAGCAGCTCCTACCGGCCTCTTAAATCCTCAAACCTCAAGACCTAAAGAGCGGGAGGGAGCTGTGACGTCATAGACAATGGAGAAAGAACGGGCCTCTGGTTTGCCGGAGACGCCCAGTCCCATCGACATAAGCTGTACAGTAATCTAGGCTGCCCGTTAATATATGGCATCATACATATTGGTTTATGTATGGTTTGATGTACCTGCTTTTAAGATATATATACAAATTGTTGCCATTGGGCGACTTTTAATACCTGTTCATATGGATGTTGTTGGTCTCTTATTATTGTAAAGGGTGTACAGTGAACACATGCATAGTATAATTATATTAAATTATATTACCTGCCGCAACCATTATCACTGCTGTTATGATCAGTGTTATTTTCTCCTTTGTATAAATCCGGTCACAACCACGTGGTGAGAAGTGTGTGCCATAACCTGGTGCAAGCAACAGTGCAGCAACGCAGTAATAAACTATTGACAACCTCAGTGGTGCTTTCATTACGACCCTCACAACGACTCGGCAAAGTCCTGCAAGACACGGGTACTCGTGATCACTTCTTATGGCAATTATATTAATATTAAGCGGCAACAAAATTCATATGAAGATACATGCAAAAAAAAAAAAAAAATCTTCACATAAAGTGTAAATGTAACAAAATGTGAAGCAAATATACTAGATACAAGAGCAAAAAAGGTCAAGTGCGTTTAGGCTTTTTGTGAAGATAGCCCTATGGAGAGGGGTGCCTTGATGCTGGCATGGGCTCTTCATCCAAGGGACTGAAGCTACACTTTTCCTCAGATGAAACTTGATTATCGAGTATTTCAAGGCGTATATGATAATATGAGCTTTCCAAGAATATGAAAAATAGCTGTCAATTAAATATTAATAATATTTGGGTGTTAAGGGGCCAGCTGGCATGTCTTACCTATCATACATTCAAAGCGACAACCGTATTCAACTTAACATTTGCTGGATCAACTAGGCTGTGATGGATATGTGGGTCACGGGCCGCCAGCAGCAAAATCCTGGATGATCAGGCAAGCACCAGACAAGCCTGGACCAGGGCCGGGCTGCGGGAGTAAGAAAACTGGAAACCCGTCAAAGGCTTAAGAGTATCCCGGCGCAGACCCAAGTCTTCCCTAAGTCTACTGGACCATGTTTGGAAGTTTGCAGCTCAAACATTCCCTTTAATGTTTCTTTCCATAGAATATATCTACCTTAAATATTTGTTTGGCTGACAGTACTTTACGGTTTGACACATCTACAGTTCCACTAATAAAACTACTTTCCTACTTAAATCTCGAATTGGTGAATTTTGATCCAGTGCCTCTAGTTAAGTCTTGGCTAAATAACCTTGTTTTAAACCTTTTAATGATACTTATCTGATCCCCTACCCCCCTCAAGGGAGGTTCCTTGGCGCTGGTGAGGGGCTCTGGTGGGCTGGTGGTTAACGCTCTCGCTTCACACGGCAAGGGCCTGGGTTCGATTCCCAGCCAAAGTAGAAACATTGGGCGTGTTTCTTTCCACCTGTTGTCTATGTTCCCCATCAGTAAATAATGGGTACCTGGGTGTTAGTCGACTGGTGTGGGTCGCATCCTGGGACACTGACCTAATTTGCCCGGGATGCTCAGCATAACAAGTGGCTTTCTATGTAGTAGTATGTCATTGTTGTCAGCTAGGACTGTATACCATGTACATGTACTTGTAGTAAATAAAGATTATTATTATTATTATTAGGGAATTGAATCCGTGCTCCAGTTCCCTGAATTGAGTCTGAATACTTTGCATCCCCCCCCCGACATGCGCTGTATAATCCTATGGGTTTATCACTCCTCTATAATAATAATAATAATAATAATAATAATAATAATAATCCCTTACCGGTTATTTTTATACATATGTAAAGAACTCAACCAGAGTGAAACATTCATGTAGACTCAAGGAGAGATAAAACACTCGATCCCCCGAAGATAATCGCAAGATAAAAGCACTACTCATGTAGGTGGGCTTTCATTACTTGTATACATCAGTAATATGCCCCATAATTCTACTACAAGACTTTCGAGAGTGATGGACCCGAGCTATTTTAGCTGGGAAAGATTTCAGAGATAGAAAATCAACTAATTTTCTTCTCTTTATAGATGAGTAATTATCAGTTCCCTCATAGTGGTGCGTTTGTGTGGTAGCCAGTCTGAGGTAATCCCCACAGAACACCTATGAGGTCTGTCTGAGCTTTTAGTAAAAACGTAAATACGTTCAAAATATTAACAGGGTAAAACAGCCCCTAAAGTTTAAAGCAATCACTCAAGAAAAGATAAATATCACACGACTTTAAAATAACTCGGAGAATTTTGCGACTTGCTTTTACTGATAACAAGAGAACCATTGAATTCTATCCCATGTCCCCACGGGAGAGACTGATAGAAAAGGACTGGTATAGGTCCTTTTCTATTATAGGTATAGGTCAGCCGGGCTGACCAGGCAAGCACCAGTTAAACCTGGTCCAGGGCCAGGCTCCGGGAGTAAAAAAAAAAAAAATCGGAACTCAGCAAATGTGTATCAAAGGTAAATGACTAACACACAGGAAGGTCTACCTATCTGAAGGTCTTTCTGAGGGTCAACGCCCCTGCGGCCCAGTCCTTACCAGGCCTCCTGCTGGATCAGGGCCTGATCAACCAAGCTGTTACTGCTGGCCACACGCAAACCAGCGAACCAACCACAGCTCGGCTGATCGGACAGTGACTTTAGGGAGTAGTAGTATATATACAAAATATATATATATATATATATATATATATATATATATATATATATAATATATATATATATATATATATATATATAAATATATATAATGATTAGCTCTGTATCTCAATGTGCATATGAAATCCTTCAAGGGGTACCTTCATGCCGATGTAGAGCGCTTGATTCAAGGAAATAGAGCTACCCTCCCGTTCTTTGGATCGAACCTTATTGGCTCCCATTCACCAGGCGCTGTATGACCCTTGCGGATTTAGAGTTTCCCCATGAATATAATTATAATACAGTGAAAGTAAAAATCAGTGACCATCTCGGTCCACAACAGTGAACTAGTCTTGATATTTACTCTCCTTATATCGAGCAGAAGTATAGGAAGCAGCCGGTCAGCTTAATCACAGGCATTATGTCACTGTTGCAGAGACAGACAAGAGACTGATGAAGGTAATTTAAACGGTGAAAATCTGACAGTTATGTCTGCCACGCTCACTGGCTGTCAGTCTGCTGTTCGTTTCCACAAAACATTTTATCGCCTTTCACTTAATATTTACATTTTTTTCCCTCCGTTGTATGTTACAACTTTTTTATTGGGTAATATACTACCTAACCTGAGAAATTTGCTGCAAATCGTATGTAAAAAAAATCACAGATTCATATGCGAGTTAAAAGGAAGAGTTGTAGAACAGAAAGGACGGGAAGAGTTACTGCGAAGACGTGAAAACACTGATGTATCTGAGAGTGGCCATGTTGGCTATAATGGTTCAAAGATGAAATGAATCACAAAATGGGTAAGGGGAAGGTAATTAGCTTTAATTCAGGGAAAAAAGGGGGTCGATAACTGCACATAGTGTAGTGATACTGAAAATAAAATGATCTGGCAAAAAAGTTTTCTTAAGTGTCATCGCAGCACACTAGCGCTGAAGTGTTAAGTGCTTTACCACACACTATTGAAAGGAGGGGAGAGCGGGCCATCATACCAGAGAAGGGCCCCTTCATCTAATTCAATTCAATTAAATTCAAATTTATTCTCTATAATGGTTACAATGCGGGGTTTACAGGTTTTAGGTATTTTGTGGTTTACATGTTATGAAATACTAATTACAGAGGGGTCCACTAGGACACCTAGCATGGCTAGGCATTTCGAGCAGACTTAGATTAATTCTTAAAATTAAATCCTTACAGATTATGGTATTAAGGCTAAGTGACTACATCATAATTTGTGAGTTTAGCAATGTGAATGCTTTTGTTTTGGCACAATACAAGGTGTTTATATTTGAGTATCATAGGCAAACTTATGACTAGTTAGGATTTATTATTTTAAGATTAAGATTAGTATTTCTGGGTTTATAGTCAGTGGGTGAGTGAGTGCAATTTTGAACCACCAGGTGGTTATCATGTAGTTAGTTGTCGGGGTGGATCAGGGAGATGTTTTCTAACTGTAGTTTTGAAAGTGATGAATGTGTCTGCAGCTCTAAAGTTTTCAGGTAGGGTGTTCCAGATTTTAGGTCCTTTGAAATACATTGAATTTTTGTAAAGGTTTAGTCGAATACGGGGAATGTCATAGAGATGTTTGTGTCTGGTGTTATGCCTGTGGATCCTGTCACAACTATCAAGAAAGCATTTTAGGTCAAGGTTAATATTGGAATTTAAGGTCCTGTAGATATAGATTGCACAGTAGTAAGTGTGGATGTTCTGAACAGGGAGTAAGTTTAGATCTATGAAGAGTGGGGGGGGGGTTGCCAGGGATGGGATTTAGTGATTATTCTTACTGAGGCTTTTTGTTGGGTTATTATTGGCTTTAGGTGTGTTGCTGCAGTTGAACCCCAAGCACAGATAGCATAGGTGAGGTATGGATATACAAGTGAATGGTATAGTGTGAGAAGGGCAGTTTGCGGCACGTAGTATCGTATCTTGGAGAGGATCCCCACCATTTTGGATACTTTTTTTGTTATGTGTTGGATATGGGTGCTGAAATTTAGGTTGTTGTCGAGGTATAGGCCAAGGAATTTGCCCTCATTATGTCTGGCAATTAGAGTGTTGTTGATCTTAATGTTAAGTTGCGCAACACCTGCTCTCTCTTTCCTCAGATCAAACCTCATTATTTCCAGGTCCCCAGACGTTGCAAGAACCATACTACTAATAATAATTGCACAATAATAATAATAATAATAATAATAATAATCTTCAACATACCATAAATCTGTCTTGAGTTACTGTTGCCAACAATATAAATTTTCAAGCACCGACATTTTTACAGAGGACGTTGTTAATGAGACAGAATAATATAAACACTTTCATGGTACTATTAATATCTTAGTGATACAAGATAACGCGCACAGTCAAGCAGACTGACCTAATTTCATTGGTGCTGAGTCTCTGTCCCAGAATGCAGCCCACAACAGTCAGTTAACACCCTGGTAACCATTAATCACTAGGAGAATAGAGGCAGAGGGGAGAAAAATGTGCTTTAACACCTAACCTGACTGCACCTCTCTGCGCTTCCCTTACATACATACATAAATTATACTGCGACTGACCGGGAATTGAACCCTCGATCCTTTAGCATACTTCGTGACAAGCCCGTAAAATTTCAAGACTACTTCGGCCGTCAGTTCATCAAAA